TCCCCTACCACCTATGCTGACCTATTAATACTTTGATAAAGACAATTCTGAGACATTAAAGTAAAAATCTACATATGTAAATAATAAAATAGATGAATGTATTATAAAAACACTTTTCATATGATCAAAAAAATTACTTGTACTAGATTAAGAAACTAATGAACATCTTTTATTTGCAACTAAGCTTATTTAGGATTAGCCACCTAATCAACAAAATACTTATTTATGCATACCTGACTAAAATAAATAAGAAAGAATATGGCTTATTTATCTACTATATGAATCTTTTGTATCCATTTAAACTCTTCATTTTTAAGATGATTCTTCATAATTTGATTATTGGGCCGAGCCTGTCGCCAGAGGTAGAAATGACACAAAGTAGTCACTCCAAAGCTGTTATTTAGGAATTAGTCATGTGTCCTAAATTTCAGTTCAATTTTTCGTGACCAAAATATCCTAAATCATTCTGAAATTAAAATTTGTAGTTCTAATTTTCATGACAAAATAAGTACCGGTTAATCCCTAAACAACAGCCTTAAGAATGGATGTTTTTGCACTTCCCCGGTTCTCCCTCGCCAGAGTGGGTCATAGATGTTGGACTTCTCATTTAGATTTAAGTTGTCTTGGCCCAAAATAAAAGTAGATATGTTTGGTTATAGAAACAAGGGTTGGTAAATGGCGAACGATATTGTACGGAACAAGGAGAACACAACAAGCAAAACATTTTGTCATTACATGAACTGAAAATGGACCAGAGGAAAAGAAAGCACTACAAATTTAAAGCCCAATTAAGAAAGCCCAACTTTCTACAAGTCTCATCAACAGATCTAAGAGAAAAACTTAGCAAAGTTGAAAAAAGAGCAATCAGTTCAAGTCTTGAGGAGGTGCTGCTCGTTGGGGAGGAGGAGAAGCAGAAATACCACCGTGAGAATTGAAGTTTGGCCCAGCATCTATATAGTCCAGGTCATATGTTGCACTTGATTTCTCCTGTAATTGTTAATATCCAAAAGAAAATGCTCTTCTTTTTAGACCCAACTAATAAAGAAAGATAGAGAAAATGACATTATACAACTGTTATTAAAATGATAGCCGAAAAACTGTATGATATATATAAAAATTATAATAATTTTATATATTTTTTCGGCTATCGAACGTAAATAGTTTCTGACACGGACTAAAAGTGATAAAAGCCTGTAAAGATTAACGAAACTAGCATAGACCATCGACTGTGTTTCAATTCCAAATCATTTATATGAATACTACCTTCTATTCTGCTATATTCAAACGTAATTTTTTTTATTTTTTTTTGAGATGGTAACGTATATTCAAACGTATTTTAGTGTGCACTTCCAAAGATTGCATTGAAAAAAGTTCATTAAACCTTTTTTACACTGATGTTCAACTTACTAACGGATGTGAGATCAACTGTGCATGTAAGCGGAGTTGGAAAGAAATATAGAATATGACTCAAAAATGAAAAGTCAATTGCACATTTCATCCTTCAGTTATTTGGTAAATTCTATTTAATCCTTGTAATATTTCACTAAGCACATTTCAATTACTTGAAAGATAAAATTGCTCAATCAGATAGTAGAAGGACCAAAATAAACA